CATTATGTATGCACAGAATACGCCATCCATATGCAACTCACAGAAATTGTTTTGTTCTTAAAAAAATTATTAAATTCGAATTTAATTGATTCGATGCATTCCTTCAGTATGAATCATGTAAATACGCATTTCACCATCATTATGAAATGATTATAAAAAATTTCTCAATGATACAGAGTATTTGTGTACACCCTTGTGCTACACAATTGATGGTTCTAGAGTGTGGGTGTATGCTTCCTTGGTCTAATAATCATTGTAGTATAGGGAGAATCAAAGGTGATTGGAATTCTTCGTCTCGTGAACAAAAGAGTCAGGAAGCGTTGAATATTGAGTTTCTCTTTCTTTGAAGATTCATTCCTTGTGATTAAGAGGGATTTCTATGGGTTGACAAAATACGCAGTAAGTACGCTTATTATACGCATTATGTACGCACAGAATACGCCATCCATACGCAAATTACAGAAATGGTTTTGTTCTTAAAAAAATTTATTAAATTCGAATTTAATTGATTCGATGCTTTCCTTCACTATGAATCATGTAAATACGTATTTTACCATCGTTATAAAATGATTATAAAAAATTTCTCAATGGTACATATTATTTGTGTACACCCTGGTGCTACACAATTGATGGTTCTAGAGTGTGGGTGTTATGCTTCACTGGTTTAGCAATCATTATAGTATAGGGAGAATCAAAGGTGATAATACATTGCATTTTCAGAAACATATAAAATACGCTATGTATACGCATTATATACGTATTGTATACGCAGTCCATACACATATATCTAGAAACAAATATTCCTTATAAAATAAATATCTCTAAAGATAATAATACAAATATTCTTATTACATAGAATTTTCTGATTTAATTATATCCATCATCAACTTCAGGTACATTGTTGATGGCGTTTTTGAACGTACAACTTTTATGTGTTCCGGAGTGAAGCATTTGGGTATGCTTGTGAAATTAGAATGCTTTGTTCGTTTTACTGATGGCTGACTGGACGGTTCCCCAGCTATGAAATCGTCGGTCATGCTTGTGAACTGCTGTACTGATGCCTGACTAGACGGGCATGCTTGTGATATGAAGTCCTCTGTTAACCATTCCGACATGCTTGTAAAATTATACTGCTTAGCTGGAGATGGCAGACTAGACTGTACATAATTTATGAAGTCCTCTGTGAAGCATTCGGGCATGCTTGTGAAATTACACTGCTGAGCTGATGGTTGCTTGGAGTGTACAGAATTTATGAAATCCTCTGTTAAGCATTCAGTCATGCTTGAAGTAGTAGGAATTTTTGTTGTGTTTTTCTTCACTGGTGGTTTCCCTGTTAAAAAAATTAATAACAATATGTCACAATAAAAATAAATCAAATTAGTCAGAAAATGAAATCATACTCATTGGCTTCTTCTCCCAGTGGCTTTTCAGCCTAGCATTGGATATGCCTTTAGGCCTACGCTTTAGAGGATCTTTCAGTTGTACATTGCCACCCTGTGTAGACTTGTATGTCTTTCTCTTCCCATAAACAATCAAATCGAGTTTTTCAGATGTATTACTCATCGAAGCCAATAGGAATTCTTCACCCTCCTCATTCAGGTGCGTTCGTGTGCTCATTTCATTTGCAAACCTACTGATATAATTTCTGAATATGAATCCACTACTAGCTTCAGAGTTATTCTGAGAATTTTCTTTCAAATTTAGACCAGAATATATATCTTGTTGAGTTCGTGCTGACCATCGCAACAGTAGGTACTTCTCGGGGATTTTCCCAATAGCCATTTGCCTCAAAACTATTATGCAGTGAGAACACAATAAACCCATCGTTTCAAACTTTCTGTAGGAGCATTGAATGTTATCATTTTGTGCATCAAAATCAACAACCCATAGTTTAGAGTGATCCTTTTTCTCTGTGTAATAGACAATAAATTTAGAAGAATCTCTAGACTCAAGCTCTACACTCATTACACCAACACATTGTAAAAATTCTTGTTCAAAAAATGAATATATTTTCTTTGAATAAAATTGAGCAGCTTGCTTTAATATTGAGCAGTTTTTTATTACAGGTTCTATTTCGGACTGGCTACATCTATAATCCTCATCCTGTTCATTCCGGCGCCAATTCCTCATCACCTTCTCTAAATCCAGAAAGCAATCAGTTATAGAACTTGTGGCTTAGAAATGCCATGACACACATTATTAGTAGACTCGCTACGTTGTGTGGATAGAATGTCCATGCTAAAACAATCCTTATTGAAGGCTGTTGACTACTTATTCCTTATCCTATAAAGATCCTGCAACCAAACATGATCTTGGAGGTTCCCTTGTATGATCAATTCAACCCATGCATTCTCAAACTCCTCCTCAGAGTCACATCTGCTCAAACACTTATTGAAGAGGCCTTTGACTTTGTTGTTGGTATTATAGCACGATACTTTTGATGAAGCCTTTTTACGGATATGCCATTGGCACAGTCTATGGCGACTGTTAGGTAGTGCAACTTCTATGGCCCTAGCCATTGCCTGGTCTTGATCTGTATATATTATTTTTGGCAGTTTATCACCTATCATTCGAACAAAAGTTGTAAACAGCCACGTAAATGATTCAATTGTCTCTTCGGATTAGAAGGCCACCCCAAGCAAAATGTTTTGCCAATGATTGTTAACCCCGACAAATGGTGCGCATACTAAATTATATTTATTAAGCCTATAACTTTTATAAAAATTTACCACATCACCAAAGCAATTATAATCTATCTTATCAATCCCATCAACCCAAAAAAAATTTAATAATCTATCAAATTCATCCTTCTGGACATCCCAAGAGAATATGTTATCATTAAGTTGACGTTCTTTAAATAACTAAATCAAAGTATTAGTGTCCCCAAGTTCAATCTTTGCTCTTTTTATTTTTTAAATAAAGTTGTACACATCCCTCCCTGTGAATCCAATATTTTCGATACCTCCAACTTCATCAGCAAGGAAGGAAAATGCATCAATGATTCTTATCCCAGCATCTGTCATTGCTTTAAGAACATAAGCTTTTTCATCACACATATTCCTGCATGATCTAAGAAGATGCCGGTCTTCTGGCCTAGGCAAATCATGATTGTGATTTTCAATAAATATTTCACCTTCCAATATCCAGCTTCATCCATTGTAAACCTAATCATAGCTGGACAACCAGTTCGGGTATCTGATTTTCGATATTTCCTTTGGATATTAAGATCAGACAACTTCTTAAAACCAGCTTTTGAACAAACAAAGTCCTTGGATTTTAAATTTCTGGAATTTGGCCAGTAACTATGATGATCTTTACGAACACTAAAACCAAGATTTTGACCATAATTACGATAAGCCTTATATGCCTCTTTCTCATTAACATAAACATCCTGATAAATACACAATAAATGAATTATCCAATACGCAACCAATACGCAACCCATAAGCAGTAAGTAAGCAAAACAATACTCAACCAATACGCAATCAATACGCAATAAAAACCCAACATATGCGCAATTAATACGCAATGTATACCAAATCGTTACGCAGATAATACTCAATGTATATCAAACAGCTAAGCAATACATACGCAACTAATACGCAACAAAACTTGGCAATAAGAAAATCGAACTACAAATTCGTTATTGTACCCTAGCTCAATAATACTTTAAAAGAAGAAAATATCGAGTCTTCTGTTAAAATCAATTACAATTTAACATTATGTATATTGTTGATAAAAATACGCATCTTTGTTAAACACAATAAATACATCAAAAATCTTTGGACCCTAAAATAATTACATAAAAAAATGACTCTGTAAAGAAATTTAATTGCAACATTGCTATAAAGAAAACTTGGAAGAAGGCGAACTTTACCGATAAGCTGAACTTTTCGTCCAGTCGCATTGGTTTTAGGTTTTCTGCTTCATGTGATTTTGTTTCCTGGACGTCGGCATTCTCCAGGTTATCGGCTTCCTTCGAGACTTGCGAAAATATTGGCTGAAAACGTTATATATTGCAGTGATTCGTGCCTTAAATTCTGAAAAAAAGAAGCGCCAACCTAAATTTAACGTTATCTCCCGGGTCGGGCCTTTGACACGACGGGTCTGGCCTTAGCGGGTTGAGCGAGTCAATTGACTTATTTACTTTCCACGTAAGCGACCGAACACACCTCTGTGACCGGATTCCACACAGAATAATTTCTCTCTCGTGCGTGTGTGTATATATATTATAAAGGTTTGCTTTAGTTGTTCATTGCTACTGATTTGATACAGGAATAGGGTGATATTTTACTTGTAAAATTCGGCTTCTTAGAGGAATAAAGAACATTACTCCTGTAAACTGCTATCGTGATTTTTATGTTAATGCGTCCATTAACTGTTCTTTTATATCAGCCTATTACCCCATTTATGCCCTAGAAACACAATTCTTCAGCAGCTGTTTTTGGGGTATCTTCATAATCTTGACAATAGTTTTGAAATATAATTCTTGATCTCTTGTGAAGGCATTTTATGCGCCTATTTTGAGGTCATTTTAATTTGATTTTTGGTTGATAAATTCCTGATGTACCTGCCTCAATCTTTGATCACATAGTTGATTTTTCTATCATTCATGATTGTTTTGTTGTTTATTATGGATATAATTCCTGCAAAGGTTTCTTAATTGAATTTCGGTGATGAGTAGTTATGCTGTGTGGGGTTAGCTGTCATTGCTCCAAGAACATGACGAAGATAAAATCTTTTATAAGCATCCCAAATTGACTTACCCCTTTCCATTATTTATTATATTTTTCCGGTAATTTGGTACACTTGTGGCAATCAAGCAGCCTAGAAAGTAATTTGGTACACTTGTGTGAACTCAAATATTTGTCCTTTGCCTTTTTTTTTGTGGGAACTGTCTTTTTACAGAATGAAATTGCATTGAATTTTTCTCTTCTAAGTTTTATCTCTAGTTTTTAATTTAATGCGAATAGTATGTTTCTTCCTGCCTATGTATGTAGGTTGGTATTTATTTGCCTTGTTATGATATATTTCGCAACTGGATTGAAGATTTTACTACGCACAATGCTCCTGGTTTAACACCTTATGCACCTCTGGTTGCTGGCTCAGTTGCTCGCTCATTGGCTTGTGTTGTTTGTTCTCCTATCGAGCTAGCAAGAACACGCATGCAGGTTCTAATCTTAAACTAATGTTTCGGATTTTTTTTTTCATGCATTCATGCAACAATTTATATGTTCACTGCTTTTCTTTAAAATGGTTTTTGGTGGTAAAATCTTTTTGTTTTTGTTATTGGATTAGGAACTAGTGGGGCCTTTCAGATCACAGGGCCTTATCCTTTATCCTGCAGGGTTGCGGAGATGCGTCGTATTTTTTAATATTGTACTTGTTTGTTAGTTTTGGGGGAAGTGTTTTATTTGCTGTAATTTTTTTATGAAATGTCAATTAAAGTGACAAGAAATACTTCCTATGCTGTTTATTTGGAAGGCATTAAAAACCAAGCAGGTTCTTAAAGAGTTGAAGTGTCTTAATTTTTAAAAGTTCAGACATGGGTATGCATCCTTTGGCATTGTACACACCTATTTCCCTGTCTTTCTGAGAGTTTTTCTCCAGCTCTGGTCAGTTTCCATAAACGCCATGCTACTAGGATTGCTGCCTAAATGTGTGTGTACTATTCTTTGGGGTTTTTTAGGCGCAATATTATATCATAGTCTAGCTGCCAATATGTTCATGGGGGATCGATGAATAATGCATTAACCTTTGTCCATGTTAAGTAAGGTACCCATTCTGACATGCATGTATGCACTCTTCTGTACACTTTAAAGTAAATTCATAAATACATGAAAACTAAAAAGGGTTTACCCACTAAAGTAAGCTCCTGCCATTGAGAGTGTCTAGGTAGAGGCTAGTAAAATACATGGCTATGTTCGATAATATGTTTAGCTCGAATCTATTCATAAAAACCGAGCAAAAATCATAAACCCATTGTTTGTAATGCAGGAGGTTGTGGAAATGTTTATATCATTCAGGAAAAATGTTGTTAAAAGAATATGGTAATTTTTTAATGGAGGCAGAGGAATCAAAAGAAGATTGGAATGTATGCTGAAAGTTGAGCAGAGGAAATAAAGTTAGGAGGTGGCCAAGTTGATGAATATTAGAGATGAAGTGATAAATACTGGAGATGTCATGAAATGGACATGTTGATTATACAACAACAACAACAAAAAGCCTTTGTCCCACTACGTGGGGTCAGCTGCATGAATCCTATTTTGGGTGCTATGTTTAAACAAAATATGCAAGCTAGTTATGTTCAAAACTTCTAATTAGTTTTTTGTAACAGATGTGTGACATTATATGAAATTAAATTAGAGGCTTTTATTGGTGGTATATATAGATGTAGTATTTTTCTTCTGGAATTGGCTTACTTGAAAGTTGGAGAATTTTTAAGTTGTATATTTTTTTTCTCTTTTCTTTATGAATATCATGATAGCATATTATCTACCATTCTTGTTAAAGATAGAAATATCACGTGTATTTTCCATATTTTTTTAATGTTTTCTTTCGGTGTATTTTTTAGCATTGTGGATGTGTCAAGTTTACTTGCAATGTTTCACTTACAAGTTGGTTTAACTGCACCAGGCGTTTAAAGTTTGGAATGGAGCAAATGCCCCAGGCATATGGAAGACATTGCTTGGTGTTTTAAGCCCAGTTAAGAGAACTAATGAAAGCTGTGAGTTTTTTTTTCCTTGGTGTGTTGGTTAAAACTTCAAAATGTCAAAAAGTGTGAACAACAATCTCTGTTGAGCCATGTCATGTATGCTTTCATTTGTGGGCCAACTTGGGATATATATGAGAACATGTCTTGAATACTACTTGCAATAATTCTCTCCTATATTAGAAATAAGTTTTTTTTTGGCTTATGTATCATCTTATATTTGTGATATTATCTATAACACCTTGTTTAGTACGACAGATTTCCACTACATTCTCCTAAATATTGAAAGAGTAATGCCTTACTTCAGTCCATGGTATGAATATTCAATTGATTGAGTCTATTAGGGCTGGGATTTATTAATCTTCATCAAGGTTTAAAATTGCGTAAATAAGCCTCAAGGCAGTTTTTGTCCATTAGGCGAGGCGTAAGCCTTGAGGCGGTGTGAGGCGTAAGCCGCATGGACGCATAATTGCGTAAATGAGAATTTAAGGGTTTTAGCAGGTAAATAATAATAAGATTCTATCATACAATAAAAATATCTAAATGACAAGTGGAATTACTGGAAATTAAGAAAAGAGATGCAATAAAATCATGTTTCAAAGTACAAAACCACAAATTATAGTCCAGATTTCCCAAAGTACAATTCAGAAGGAACATATAAAATTCAATCATATCCCATCACTACATGAGCCTTCAAGGGAATCTTCTTCTCGAATTGTATCTATGAATGTCATATCTTCATCATCTTCAATGTGACTCACTTTTCTCTTTCCTGTTCAATAAGAATGATCATTATCATGTTAATTGCTCACTTGATATAAATATAATGCAATAACATATAAGAAGTTGTGGAATACCTTTTTTTGGTTTTTTTGTTACAAAGCTAGTGGATGTGTGTGGTGTGGTACTAGTAGATGTGCCCACTTAATCTGCTTCGCTCCTCAAGACATCCACACTTAGATCCTCTAGTTGTGAGTATGATAATGGCAAATATATCTCATCATTTATGAACCAGTCATTATCAGATAACACATCATTACACACCAACGGGTTCTCATCATCCTTCAACCCCTTATTCCTCAACCTCCTATTTCTTAACCTCTTGTTGTGCATAATATACACAAGAGAGCTCATTCTGAGTGTTGAAAGCCGATTTCTTCTCTTTGTTTGCACTTGACTATGTGTACTCCAGTTTCGCTCACACCCAGAAGAAGAACAAGTGAGGCCCAAAACTCTAATAGCAAAATTCTGTAACTCGGGTGAAATCACCAAATTGGATCCACCATTAGAAATTGATAATGATTTGCAGTGCACAAATGTAATAACATACATAGTGGTTACAGGGCGAATGATTTCCTTCTTTGAAAACTTTCTAATCAAGGCTAAGACCCATGAGTGGTTGTAGATGAACTTTGTGATCTTCTTCGCCCTAGAAAGAGCGCTCTTGTGCTGAGGTAAATCACCAAGTTTCTCCAATATGAGATCTTTACAATGTGCTGTGCAGGGGGTCCAATATAGGTGTTTCCTCTTCTCCATCAACATCTGACCAGTTGTTTTGTATGCACTGGCATTGTCAGTCACCACCTGAACAACCAATTGCTCTTCAATCTCCTCAATAATCCCATCTAGTGAATTGAAAATGAATGCAACATTTTTAACTTCATCTGAAGCTTCAACTGATCGTAAGAACACCGTGCCGTAGAGATTGTTGACAAGGATGTTAATCAAGTCCCTACTCTTCATGTCAGACCATCCATCTGACATAATTGTAACACTAGTCTCAATCCATGTCCGTTTAATCTCATCAATGCTTCGCTTTGTGTTCTGCAGCTCCTTTAAAATCCATGTTCGCAACTCGTATATGGAAGGTACCTTCAACCCTCTCCCATACAACCCTACAGACCGCAGCATATTGAAGTAGGCCGGCGATGTCGCAACATTAAATGGTATGACATTCTCAAACAAAATTATGCTAATATGCATGCAAACCTGGCGTCGACCCTCTCTGGTACACTAGCCGCAGGCATCATCTCTGCTTGTCCTCTAACCTCTCCTGGATTAGTCATATACTGGTCCATCGGACCCCGTGCACCTCTATTATGTATAGTGGAGGAAGAGCCCTTTCCACTCTCGCTCCCGAAGTAAGCACCATGTTCGACCCTTTCATCAAATTGCTCATGTTGTAAGTGTTTTGCAGTGGTACTTTTCTTCATGTAAGCAATAATTTCATCTTTCACCTAGTCCGGCACATTTGCACACAGTGCTACGTTCTTATGAGAGCATGATAAGTGTTCCTTCATGTGGGTTACTCCGCCCTTCACCACTTTCTCACAAAAATTGTATTTTAAATACACATACGTCTTCTCGCTGCCTCCAACATCAACTTGTACACTGTATTTCCAAGAAGGGTCACGTCGCAATGACGTATTTGTCTTTTTCTTTTCGCTAACCATGTTTCCTAATGCACAAATACGAAAACATAAAAAAATATAAAAAAATATAAAAAAATAGAAAACCCTAGATTTTTATAACTTGTAAATACTTTTCTTGAACTTAAAAAAATACCTAAAACCTATAATGGAATGCTTGTAGAGGGTGGCCGGACCCTTCTTGCTCACCGGCGTGAGGTGGCGCCGGCGGGAGAGGCGACAGACAACAAACCGAGCGGAGCCGAGCAGAAATTCTGTGAACGGACCAGCTGCTTTGCGGGAGGATTTTTTTCGGTTCACTAGAGCCGAATGATATAACAGGAGAAACAAGTCATTTTAAGTAGGTGGGACCTGATTTAAAGAGGCGTGCAACTCACATGATATTGCGCAATAGCGCCTTAGAGGCGCGCCTCTTAATTCGTGAGGCGTATGCCTCACCTGGAGCCAGAATTGCATGGGCTTTGAGGCGCTTGAGGGCTGAATTGCGCAAGGCGCGCCTCTAATTGCGCAATTTTAAACAGAGATCTTCATCACTCCTTAACTTGCCTTTCTTGATAACTGGCATCATAGAAATGCTTGTCTAACAATTGCTGCGACTTTGGCATCCTCTAACCACCACTCCAAAGCTAACTTTAGCATGAAGGTTTTCCTCAATGTTCTATTAGTCAATTTTTGAAATCTAGGAGCTCGACCTAATGTTTTGATGATTACAAATATTATTGGTGTGATCATTTACTAGTTCCTGTTATATATATATATATATATATGTATATATATATATTCTGTTTCTTTTGTTTGATATTAACCATTTCAGGTATAACATACACTGAGCTTGATTTAAGAAGAAGACTCCAGATATTATAGCATTAAGATCTATTCAATATGTAATAAAATAGTCCGCTTTTTTTTTCCTTGTGTCATTTATGTAATTAGCTGTATGTTGACAAGACAATCGAGCACACAATCACATGGGGGATGTAAATCAAATATTTGAATTTTTTGTCCAATCGTATTGTACAATATGTTAATCCAGAAATTAAGTCAAGTATTTAATTAAATCAAATAAATTAAATTGTACTATCCAATTTTTAATCGTACAGGACGATAAATTATTTTGATAAATCTCATAGTCAAATCTATGTTATCAAAATTATAAAAGTATGAACTTATCATGATTAATGAATGTTATTGAATTTTATACTATAGATTAATAAATCGAATCAGGATCAAATCCTAATTAATATCATACTATTTTTTCTAAATTAGACATGATGATTTATCCATGAGATCAATGGCTGAACCTGTGTTTGTCTTGGACTATGCTTGATTCGATATAATTGATCGAATTGTACGGTTTAATATCATATATGACAATCTGTGATGAGAATTGAACTAATCAGACAGTATGACCATAGTATCGTACTGTACGATCAAAAGTATTAAATTGAATATTAGGGTTTTATTTCAATAACCCATATTAATTCTTTCACACAAGACCTGAGGGGTTGTGTTGAGTAGTCAAAGAGGTTTTTTTTTTGAGTGAGAGCTTTAGAGAGGGAGAAGTGTCTTCTTGCTTGTAAGAGAGGCGAATTAATTTGGGATAGAGTTTCACAATTATTCATACTGGCTTGCATCTTTGGTCATTTGTTTTGTGATTATGGGGTTCTTGGAGAAGAACGCTAGGAAAAAAAATCTTTGGGCGAAAGATTTTACTAGCCGAGGAGGCTAGAAGATCGGCATCTTTGCCATTGCGAGGAGTAGGAGGAGCAGCATCTCGACTGTGCAAGGAGTAGGAGGGATTGACATCTCCTCCGTGCAAGGAGTAGTAGGGAGCGACATTTCTGTTGTGTCGGGAGGTTGAAGGAGGTAGGTTTTTCGATTGAACCACTTTAAAAATTTGGTTTGCGTTTCCTTTAATTTATTGTATTTACTTTCATGTGTTTTTGGTTTACATTACATATTTTTGTGAAAATTGTGATTATTAAACTTATGGGTAAACTCTTGCATATTTAAAAGCGAAAAAAATCTAAAGTAAAAAAAAAAGCTTTTTGTTTATGCTTTGAATTTTTTTCATAAGCTTCTGCATAATATTCTGATTTGGAGAAAAAAGTTTTAAAAACACCAATTTACCCCCTCTTTATGTGTCATTGTACTTTCAAATGGTATCAGAACAGAGTTCTCACTATTGAGTAGATCTACATAACACATTTTGGAAATGAAAACAACTCAAAAGGGTATTCTATTACTCAATCATGGTTATTTGATAATATTGTATTTAATTTCTGAAAGATTCGAATGTTCACTTTTCTTTAATTTATTGATTCTTGTATGTGGCACATAATTTAAATTGGTTACTCTTTGCTTTATTGAATTGTTATTGGTGCTAAAGTTGAAATATCAATTTTTTTACTGGAGTTTAGAAGATCGTGATCTTGCTCAGTTGAATGCAAATTATCTTTAACTATTTCTTTTGTCCTTTAAAATTTAAAGATTGCATGTGTGTGTTTGCTTAATACTAGTGATAAAAAAAATTTGTGATAAGTTACATCTCTGTATGAATTTACTTTTGCTTGAATATGTACACTA